GTTTATTTGAAATCTTTCTTTTAAAGGAAATGTGGGCATTATTGCTATAAACATTCCCCTTACAACTACTTTTGCCATATCTTATAGTTTTTGATATTTTATGTTTGCATTTGTTTTTCTCAAGATATTTTATATTTTCCTTTTGATTTCTTCTTAGGATCATAGGATATTCAGCAGGATTGAATGTTGTTTAACTTTTAAATATTTGTATGTTTTTCTGTGACCTTTTTTAATTGATTTATAATTTTATGGCATCTTGGTTTGAAAAGATGCTCAATATGATTTCAATCTTCTTACATTTTTTGACTTGTTTTGTTGATAATGTGTGATATATCCTGGAGAATGCTACATATGTATGCATGACAAGAATGGTTATTTTACAGCACAATTTACAAAAGCTAGGTGCTGGAATCAACCTAGATGCCCATCAGTAAATGAATGGATCAAAAAACTATGGTACATTTACAAAATGGAATTCTATGCAGAAGAAAGAAAGAAGGAGCTCCTACCCTTTGCAACAGCATGGATGGAGCTGGAAAGCATTATGCTAAGCGAAATAAGCCAGGCAGTGCAAGACAAATACCATATGATCTCACCTTTAACAGGAACCTAAACAACAAAACAAAGAAACAAAATATAACCAAAGACACTGAAATAGAGGACAGACTGACAGTGACCAGAGGGGAGAGAAGAGGGAATTTCAGGGGAGAATGGGAAGGGTTTACAGGAACAAATTTAAAGGACACATGGACAAAAACTAGGGGGAGGGTGGTAATGGGAGGGAAGTGGGGAGAGTTGGGTGGGTGGGCTGGAATGGGAGTGAAAGGGAGAAAACTGTACTTGAACAATGATTAAAATAAAATAAAATAAAATAAAATAAAATAAAAAGAATGGTTATTTTGCTGATGTTGGAAGAAATGCTTATATACGTATCTTAGGTCCATCTGTATCCAATGTTTCCTTATTAATTTTCTATCTGGGTAATCTATCCACTAATAAAAGTGGTGTAATCAATCCTGCCAATGTTGCTGTATTGTTGTCTTCTTGTGCCTCAGATCTCTTAATAGTTGCTTCATATATTTGGGTGCTCTGATGTTGGGTGCATAAATATTTATAATTTTTATATCCAAAATAAAAAAAATTCAGAGAGTCTGTGAGTCAGTGTATAATCAAGCCACAATCAACTTCAAGAAAATCTCAGAAATGCTTTTCTTTGCTCACTTTGCCGTTGCTCCTGCTATAGCAGATTTCTTACAGTTTGTAGAACATGTCATACTTATTCCTGTTAATCTTCCCTTTGGATGATTTCTCAATTGGAAGCTCTCTCCCATAGGCCCTTCTGGTCCTATTACCCTATGTAAAGTATATTCTCTCTTCAGCACTTAACAATATTTTTCACAATCTTTATACTTGTTTATTCAGTTTCTTCCACTAGGCTGTGAGATTCACAAGGATAGTAATTGTCCCTGGAATAGATAGGTGTTCAATAAATATTTCTTGAGGTAATAATCATTTTCAAAAATTAGGTTTCTTCAAGTAGAATTTTTGGCAAATGATATGTATATTTTATAAAACTTTTGATATTAACTTTCAAATTATCCAGAATAAAGATTGTATCAGTTTAAACTCCTGCTATTAATATAGGAGACTATCCATTTAATAATATGTCCCATTTTTTGGTGGATGGCATATTATCTCTAAAAACTCTTTGCTACTTTTACATTGGTATTATTTTAAGTTTAGAAGTGAATTTTATCTTTTGGATATTTATTGTTCATTTATCTTCTCTAAATTTGCTATTTATGTCCTTTGGTAATATTTCATTATTATATTTAAATCAATTTCTAAGATCTTTTAGTATATTAAGTATAGCTCTTTGTCTATGTGATATTTTGTACTTATTTTTCCTGTTTTTTAATTGCATTTTAATTTTGTTTATTTTTAATTCAAAGATTTTAGAATTTTATGGCTTCCATTGTCACCCTTACACTGGAATTGCCCTTACTAAGGCTAAAATTACCAATAAACTTGTAGTTGTCACATTCAGTGGGCATTTTTCAGACTTCATTTAATTTGATCTACTTAATTAAGAACAAAGCGATATAAGTCACAGTTTCGATGGTCTACATTGATTTGGAACATCTCTGCCATCTCTAAATTATAGCATTAAAGTCATTAAAATTATAAATAAAATTAAGTGCCACTCAGCAAATTTGTTTTTGGTAAAATTAAATGCAAGTCTTTGGGTAGAGGCCTTTCAGTAAATTCCTCTGTTTTTTTATGATTATAGGAATGAGTCAAATATTGTATAAAACTAAATGGCAGACTTGAGTCACAGATAAAAATTAAGCCCTAGAGGTTGATAAAAAGTCAGAAGGCATAGCAGGTAGAATTAAAAAATTTAAGGCTCTGAAAAGATATATTCGTTTCCTATGGTTTCCATAAGGAAAATACCACAACTGGGTTAAAATAACAGATATTTATTCTTTCACAGCTCTAGAGCACCATATCAAGGCGTTGGCAAGGCCATAATCCCTCTGAAGGCTCTAAGGAAGGATCGTTTGTTGCTTCTTCCAGTTTCTGGTATTTCTTGGTTCACTGTTTTGTGGCAGCATATCTACAATCCCTGCTCCCATGTCACATGGCCATCTTCCCTCTGTATCATTTTGTGTTCAAATTTTCCTCTTCTATAATAGTACCATTTTAACCTGATTACATTCACAAGACTTTGTTTCCAAATAAGGTCTCATTCACAGGTGCTGGGAATTAGGACTTCAACATATCTTCTTGGTACATACAACTCAACCTATAACAGATGTGAACCAAATGAAGTGGAGACAGCTGAATTATGTGAGATTGCCAGAACAAAGGGTAAACACCAGACCAGAACTAGACAAGACAAATTGGGTAGTGATTAGTTGGCTAGGTAGATCATCAGGGCAAAAGGAGCATTCATGGATGTTAATAAATATGATGAGAAACTGCTTCATGAAATTCTTCATAATTCTATTTGGAATCTCAAGTAAATTTTAATTGATTATTTAGGCATATTAATTTGCTTCTGTTTATAAGATAATATAAAAGGATGCTTACTATGATAGTTTATAGTTTGGTGTATAGTTAAGAAAGATCCAGTTTTTCATTATTTCATGGAGGAAAAATTATAAATATCAAAGAATAGGAAATTGCTCATTTAATTTAACTAAATTGTCAATTCAGTTTATGTCTATAGAAAATTTGACAAAATTTGACTGAAGTGGAGGCAGCAGAATTAGTACAATACATGTAATATTATATTAACCCAATTAGTACAATGCTGTTTTTGACATTTACTTCTTCTTATAAATGGGCTTAAAATAGACTCTGAAGGTACTATATAAAATGTCATTAATTTGATTATGAAATACACATACAGTATTTTATAGATGCAATTGAGAGGCACACCAGACCTCAAAGAGACTGGTAAACAACGTAGTTTCTAAACTGTAGCTGATATGATTAAAACCTATGTTAATTCAATTATAAAATGACTATTGTTTTACTTAACTTTAGTAAATCTTAAAGAGATGTAACACAGTAGAGCAGAGCAAACGGAAATTAGAGCAGAACAAGCTGAGATGTAGGACAAGTATTGTGATTTCTAATCACATTCCTCTGATTACACTGAACAAGTTTTCACTGCCGCTGCCAAGAGACAGACTGTTTTATGGGTTGGGTCAAAAACTTCGAAAAGTGATCATTTATTTAACTAAGATGGCCTAGCTATGGTTATGACTAATGTATGTCAAATAAAGGGAATTATTCAATGGTATTTTATATTTCCTAGGAGCAATATAGTGTAAAAATTTAGAAATATTCTGGGTAAATGAAGTCATAATGATTGTTGAGATTGTTTATTACTTTTTCTCTTGTGATTATACTATATTTTAAAGTTCATCTTTTCCTCTTTATTCCTTCTTAGACTACAGGAATATGTTTTTGCACATCTTTTGACCAATTTTCATTTTTCTAATAAAATTTTTGTGTTTGCAATATAAATTTAAAGTTTTATTTGTATTCCATATAGAATATAGTACTATTTACAGTTTGCTAAATAGAGTTTCCGTTTTTCAAACTTCCATTTAAAATTTTTATTTTCATTGGGGAATTCATTCCTATGTGGTTGTTAAGCAGAGTATGTAATGATTACATCAAAAATTCATTTTATTTCACTTAATATATTTTAAGACTCAACATTATTTGGCAAACTTTGGGTAGAAATGCATTCTGAAATTGTTGAAAATAAAAATATCTAGCATGTCATACTATATATACATTAGTCTCTTTTGGTTCTGAGTGCTAAAGATATAAGAAAGGAGTTTACATGGATATGGACCACAGAACTCAGATTTTTCAAACAATATTAACTTTCTTTCAAGTCACATAAAATATATTAATAGAATATTGTCATTTATATGTTAGCAGTTGTTTTCTCCAATAATTGAAAATAGACTGCAGCATCCTGAGTTCTGCAAATATAACTGTCTTTGATAGTAGGATGAAAAGAACAGAAATTGAGAGTTCAAAAGCATTGACTTTAGCTATTAGAAAGCAGCATTCCTGGAGTTTACCTGATTTTCCTCTGATAAGTTCTTTCTCAATTTGATGTTTCTAACAGATCTCTCACTTGCAGCCATTGTCTATGAGTGTTCACCAGGTTAAAAATCGCTGGGAATACCACAGATGGAACGTTGTAGTGAGAATTGCCTGTGATGTCATAGACCCTTGAGGGAGACTTCTAGAAGTGAAAGTTAGTCACACTAGAGACTAAACAAAAAAGATGCTTACTGAGTAAGGTGGGGTCCAACAAGAGTATAATACAGGATACAGTAATTTGTGGATTACTTTTTTTCTGAGAGAGCTCAACAAAGTAACACTTAATGAAGGAGGGTAAAGGCCTAGCCATCTGGTACATTGTGATTATTGATGATTAATAAATTTGAAATTCACCAGTTTTATATATGGAAGAGAGTGATGAACATGATCAGCATATTTCAGCAGGGAGAAAAGAAATTCGAAAGAGAAGAATACCCAGCCAGCCAATGGTAGACAAATCCCAACAGACTGAAGTATCAGAGAAAAAGAAACCCCTGTCCATGCCGCAATCATGTGACCCCAAAGCTACCCTTAATATTAGTAATATTCCTGGAGGCACAGCCAACTATGAGTCTCTTAGAGTATCTGCTCAGCTTCAGCAAACTTGGACAAAAAGAAAGCATGTGCAAGATATGACTGATAAATCTCTGCAGACAGACACTGATGCAGAAGAAAAAAAAGAAATAGAGTCTGTTGCTACAACAGTGGTACCTGAGGAAAAGCCAGTGGCTATTGAAGAAGCAGCTCCTGAATTTCTAGAGAGTGTTCATGAAGTTGAAATTCCACCAAAGAAACACTCAGCTCAACGCCAAATAGACAGATCTCAGCAGACCAGTTGTACTGGAGATTGGGCAATGAAGTGCATTACTCAAGTGGAAAAAGCAGACAAAGAACAGCAGACCTACTTTGATGAATCAGAAATAATGGTTATTGGCAGACCAAGCAGTTCTTCAAAGTCCAAGGAGGATGTGCAGAAATGTAAATCCTCAGGGAAGATTTTCATTACTGAACAGCCTGTAATAAGTAGCAATGAAGAAATTAGGCAGAAGAGTATCAATAGATCTTCATTTAGTCAACAAATGAAAACAGGTAATTCAGTACTTTCAGATAAGCATGACTTTCCTGCTGAAGTACAGCCATCCAGTGTAGAAAAGATCCCTGCTGAAGTGCAATCTCCACCAGCTAAGACTACTGCAGAAGAGGCCCCTGATGATCTTCAACCTCCACCAGCTGAGGAGGCTCCTGCAGATGAGGCCCCTGCTAAAGTAGAGCCTACCCTTGCTGAAGAGTCTCTTTTAGAAGTGCCTCCCTCTGAAGTTCAGCCTCCAATAGCTGAAAAGGCTCCTGTTAAAATACAACCTTCCCAAGCTGAAGCAGCTCTTACAGAGAAGACCCCTGCTGAAGTTCAGACTCTGCCAGCTGAGGAGGCACCTGAAGAAGAGGCCCCAGCTGAAGTAGAACCTACCCCTGCTGTACAGGCTCTTTCAGAAGAGCCTTCTACTTACATTAATCCTCCATTGACTACAGAGACTCCTATACCAGATGTCACAGAATTTCAATCTTCACCACCTGTAGAGGCCCCTGCAGAATGGATCCCAGCTGAACTTCAGCTTCCATTGGCCGAGGAGCCTCCTACTGAGGAGATCACTGCAGGAGAGGCCTCTCGGGAAGTTCAGGCTCTAGTAACTGAGGGGTTCCCCGCAGAAGAGGCCCCAGCTGAAGTTCAGTCTCCACCACCTGAGGGGTTCCCCACAGAAGAGGTCCCAGCTGAACTTCAGTCTCCACCTGCTGAGGGGTTCCCCCCAGAAGAGGCCCCAGCTGAAGTTCAGTCTCCACTTGCTGAGGGGTTCCCCCCAGAAGAGGCCTCAGCTGAAGTTCAGTCTCCACTTGCTGAGGGGTTCCTCCCAGAAGAGGCCCCAGCTGAAGTTCAATCTCCACCTGCTGAGGGGTTCCCCACAGAAGAGGCTCCAGCTGAAGTTCAGTCTCCACCAGCTGAGGGGTTTCCCGCAGAAGAGGCCCCAGCTGAAGTTCAGTCTCCACCACCTGAGGGTTTCCCCCCAGAAGAGGCCCCAGCTGAAGTTCAGACTCCACCAGCTGAGGGGTTCCCCCCAGAAGAGGCCCCAGCTGAAGTTCAGTCTCCACCAGCTGAGGGGTTCCCCGCAGAAGAGGCCCCAGCTGAAGTTCAGTCTCCACCTGCTGAGGGGTTTCCCGCAGAAGAGGCTCCAGCTGAAGTTCAGTCTCCACCAGCTGAGGGGGTCCCCGCAGAAGAGGCCCCAGCTGAAGTTCAGTCTCCACCAGCTGAGGGGGTCCCTGCAGAAGAGTCCCCAGCTGAAGTTCAGCCTCCACCTGCTGAGGGGGTCCCTGCAGAAGAGGCCCCAGCTGAAGTTCAGCCTCCACCAGCTGAGGGGGTCCCTGCAGAAGAGTCCCCAGCTGAAGTTCAGTCTCCACCAGCTGAGGGTTTCCCCACAGAAGAGTCCCCAGCTGAAGTTCAGTCTCCACCAGCTGAGGGGTTCCCCCCAGAAGAGGCCCCAGCTGAAGTTCAGTCTCCACCAGCTGAGGGGATCCCCGCAGAAGAGGCCCCAGCTGAAGTTCAGTCTCCACCAGCTGAGGGTGTCCCTGCAGAAGAGGCCCCAGCTGAAGTTCAGTCTCCACCAGCTGAGGGGGTCCCTGCAGAAGAGTCCCCAGCTGAAGTTCAGTCTCCACCAGCTGAGGGGTTCCCTGCAGAAGAGGCCCCAGCTGAAGTTCAGTCTCCACCAGCTGAGGGTGTCCCTGCAGAAGAGGCCCCAGCTGAAGTTCAGTCTCCACCTTCTGAGGGGTTCCCTGCAGAAGAGGCCCCAGCTGAAGTTCAGTCTCCACCAGCTGAGGAGGCCTCTGCAAAAGAGACTTATGCTGAACTGCAGGTTCTACCAACTAAAGAAGCTACTTCAGAAATGGTCCCTGTTGACAAACCTCCATCATCTGAAGAGGCCTCTGTCACACACATCTCTATAAAAGATTCCCCTGGTGCTGCTCAGCCTTCACTATCTGAAGAAACCCCTGCAGATGAGGGTCTGGTAGAGAATGTGTCTATTGAATATCATACTTCCAAGACAATAGATGTCCCAGTGGTAAAATCAGAATCAGCAACTTTAAAAGATGAACCAAAATCTGGAGAGTCTTTAGCACTGGAATCTTCCTGAAGAGGTGTCTAATATCAAGAAAGAACAGGTTCCTCCTATTGAAATGGAGGGTGACATCCATATGGAACTAAAATGGAGGCCTCTTTCCCAGCTATAGGGAGGTCTTAACTAAGCTATTAGAGACTAGGGGGTTCTGGAAGGGCATACTTTGCAAAAAGATAGTCATTTGAAAGTAGCTTTGTGAATAAGGAAATGAAAGAAAACCCCAAGATGTGAACTGCTGGTTGGAAAATGAACAATAAAAACTAGTGGTTTGAAATTACTTGTCATATTCATTTAGTCCAGAGTATGTAAAATAACTATTTTGAAATGAAATAAGTTTATAATTGAAATAATTGCTTAAGATATCCTTTTTACACTAAATACTTTTGACAAGGATAAAATATACAGCCATATTTTATTTTCTCTATATGTAGCTTGTAGTGATAAAGGCATTTTCTTCAGTTCCCTTATCTACTTTAAATGCCTTGAGTTTGAGTCACACATCTAAAGTTATGTGCTATTTTCTTTCTCAGTAAGTTCTTCATATCTCTTACTCTCTTTCTATTTGATTCTTTGTGAGACAGACATTTCTATCCTTTACTCACCCCTATCTTCTTGCATATTTTACATTTCAATGTCTAGATAGGGAAACCTATTTTCTTTGTAAAAATCTTCATTTAAATAAAGATAACCATGAATGAATATTTTGAAAAGGTGTGTAAACATAAAGAAAAATATACTTAGATTGCCTTCAGGGCATATTCCCATTTAATTTTAATTTCACTTCAAGTTACAATGTGATGAGTTCTTCTGAAACTTGGCTTATATTTTTGTACTCTGAACTTATGACAAAGAAACTTAGAATAAAGTTGAAATACTATAGTATGTTATTGACAGTTTTAAAGAGTAATTATGGATTATTGTCTATTATTAAAGGACATCTTGATTTTTATGATGATAGCAATTTGGGAAAATAGTCTAAATACAATGTTCTAAATGTGATGTTCTAAAATGAGATGATTCTTATAACAATTTTAATAAATATATTTATTTAGTGAAAACTCTAGGTTGGTGATTCTAAACTGTGTTAAGCTGTGATACATTATAGTTGTTAAGTTTTCCTCATATTCTTCTGTTAAATTTTTCTCAGAATTTTTGTGAACACAGTCACCCCTGGTACACATAAAGGATTGGTCCCAGGCCCTCCACAGATGACAAAATCCCAGAATGCACAAGTCCCATATGTAAAATGGTATGGTACAAAATAGAGCTGTCCCTCCATACCTGTGAATTCCCAATTACAGATTGAAAATACTGTTTTCGATTGTAGTTGTTTAAATTCACAAATGAGGAAGGCATAGATATGGAGGGTTGAATACATGTTGTTGTTGTTTTTTAGAATATGTGACCAAATTTGAGATTGAGAAACATTATTTGAGGCTTGAATGAGGGTTGCTGTTTTGATATTTTCAAGACTGTTTTATGTTTTCTGAGACACTCAAAATCCAGTTAAATTATTTTGTCTAAATTGGAGGGGTTTTTTTATTTCAGATATTCTATTGTGGCTTCTTTTTTGTTTTTTAAAAATTATTTTGGATTTTCTTTTTTTATTCATCTTTATTGAGATATAATTGACTTATAACATTGCATAAATTTAAGGTATACAATGTGATGATTTGATACATGTAACTTTGTGAAATATTTGCCTCAATGAAGTTAAAATATCTATCACCTCATATAATTACAACTTTTTGAGCTGGTGAGATAATTTAAGGTCTACTCTCTTATCAACTTTCAGTATATAATACAGAAAATATCCAGCCATGTAATATGAAAAATAGAGACATTTACTGAAAAAGATACAAGATACAAGAAACATTGTACATAGGACAATGACACCTCACTTCTCTTCAAAGTAGGCACCTTGGGTCCTCACACAGTTCTTCCAGCATTTCTTCCACTGTTCAAAACACTCTACAAGATTCTTTTTTGGGATTGCCATCAGCTGCCCCATCATACAAGTATTTTCCTGAATCTCATAGATGATATGAAATCTTTTCCCTTTCAGAAGTGATTTTAGTTTTGAGAAAAGTGAGAAGTCACAGGGCCCCAAATGTGGGCTGCATTGGGGCTAAATCACCTGGGTGATTTGATGTTTCATTAAAAAACTATGCAGGAGATGAGATGCATGAATGGGAATGTTGTCATGATGAAGATGCCAATCACCAGTTGCCCATAGCTGTGCCATTTTCATTGTATTGCATCTCTCAACCAACAAAGAACATTGAGGTAGTACTCCTTACTAATTGTTTGGCCTGGAGGGGCATAATCATGATGAACAACACCTTCCCAATAAAAAACACAGTTAACATGGTCTTGACCTTGCTGCTGCTTTGCGTGTGGAGAACCAGACAACTTCCATTGGGATGACTGGACCTTTGTTTCTGGGTCTTAGCCATAGACCCACAATTCATCTCAGGTTATGACCTTCTTGAGGAAACTTGGTTCATTGGTAGCAGTTTGAATCAAGCCTTTAGCAACTGCAGCACAATGTTCCTTCTGTTCTGGTAGCAGAAGCCATGGAATGAATTTTGCCATGACACATTTCATGTCAAGATCCTGTGTCAAAATCTTGGGCACAGTATTTTTTGGAATACCCAGATCCAAAGATCAGCTTCTAGTTCTGGCACTAACAGTCTCCAATCTTTGTTAATTGCAGCCCATGCATATATAATATTCTCAGGTTGTGGATAAGTCTTGTGTAGGCCTTCCAGAATGCGGATCACTTTCAATAGATTCTTGACCATCTTTGAAACGTTTGTGTCACGCTTTTCTTTGCGCTGCATTCATTGCATTGTCTCTGACAACCTTCTGAATCATCCAGATAGTTTCTGTGGAGGAATGTTCAAGCTTAATGCAAAATTTGATGCAGATTCTTTGCTCTACTCAGTCATTTTGAATGCAATAGCCACACAGTATATATGCTCACTCAATGGCATCTACTGTCCCCACTGACAGTGAAATCATGCATGTTAACTGCAGTATAGTCATGCACATTAACTGTAACTAAGTACAGTTAATTCATGCATGTTCCAGTCCATTCTCTTTGGCTGCCAGATTACATCAATGTTGTGCAAATCATTCTCATTATATTAAGAATGGCTGGACTTTTACTGGACATACCTTGTATAATACATACTCACCATTTGGCACATCAGATGCCCAGAACTTACTCATAACTGGAAGTTGTACCCTTTAACCAATATCTCCCATTTCCCCCACCCCTTAACTCCTAAGAACCACCACTCTACTCTTTGTTTTTATGAGTTTGTAGATTCCACACAAAAATGATATCATGTGATATTTGTCTTTGTCTGACTTATTTCATTTAATATAATACCCTGAGGGTCCATCCATCCATGTTGTCATCAAAAGCAAGATTTACTTTTTAAAAAAATATTATTATTAGGACTGAACATTATACCATTGTGTATATGTATGCCACATTTGTTTATCCATCCATCTATTGATAAACAGGTTGTTTTCATACCCTGGCTATTATAATGGGACAATGAGTGGGGAAGTACAGATATCTTTTTTAGATGATAATTTCACTTCATTTGAAATTAAATGAGATTGCTAAATCATATGGTAGCTCCACTTTTAATTTCTTGAGGAACCTTAATTCTATTTTTATAATGGCTATACCAGCTTACATTTCCACTAATAGTGTGTAAGGGTTCCCAATTCTCTACATTCTCTCCAGCATCTGCTTTTGTTTGTCTTTTTGATAATAGGCATCCTAACATGTGTGAGTTGATATCTCATTTTGGTTGTGATTTGCATTCCCTGGTAATTAGTGATGTTAGGTATATTGTGTGTTTTTTTGCTATAAAGTTGCATGAATTCCTTGTATATTTTGAATATTAACTCATTATCAGATACATGCTTTGAAAATATGTTTTCCCATTCCAAAGGTTGCCTTTCATTTTGTTGATAATTTCTTTTGTTGTGAAGAAGCTTAATTTGATGTAGTTTCACTTGTTCATTTTTGTTTTTGTTGCCAATGTCAAGAAAATTACCCCTTATTTTTTTTCTTCTAGGAGTTTTATGGCTTCAGGTCTTATGTTCAAGTCTTTAATCTATTTTGAGTTGATTTTTTTTGTATGGCATATGATAAGGGTTCAGTTTTATTCTTTTCTTGTGGTTATCCAACTTTTCCAGTCCTATTTAGTGTATAGACTATCTTTTTCCCACTGTGTAATTTTGACATGTTTGTTACAAATTAATTAACCATGCATGCAAGGGTTTATTTCCAGGCTGTATATTCCATTGATCTATGTATCCATTTTAGTGCCATTAACATACCATTTTCATTATTGTAGCTTTGTAGTATAGTTTGAAGTCAGGAAGTGTAATGCCTCTACCTCTGTTCTTCTTTCTCAAAATGGCTTTGGCTATTTTGGGTCTTTTGTGATTCCACAATTTTTAGAATTGCTCTTTCTGTTCCTATAAAATGCAATAGGCATTTTGATAGGCATTACATTCAATCTATAAAGATCACATTGGGTGGTATGAACATTTAAAAATATTATTTTTTCAAATTCATGAAGATGGAATATTTTAAAATATATTCGTGTAGTCTTCAGTTGGTTTCATCAATGTCTTATAGTTTTCAGTGTAGAGATCTTTCATCTCCTGGGTTAATTTGTTCCTATTTTATTGTTTTTGATGATATTGTAAATGGGATCATTTTCTTAATTTTTCTTCTAACAATTCATTGTTATTGTATAGAAACTCAAGCGATTTTTGTGTTTATTTTGTATTCTCCAACTTTACTAAATTTATTTATTCTAACAATTTTTAGGAAAACTTTCAGAATTTTCTATATAAAATATTATACAATTTGCAAAGAGATAATTTTACTTCTTTCATTCCAATTTGGATGCCTTTTATATTTTTTTCTTGACTAGTTGCTTGGACTGGGTCTTCCAGTGCTATATTGAAAAAAAGTGGCA